CAAAAGAAAATAAAGTTTTGCAAATAAAGTTTTGCAAACGAAAATAAAAGTATTGAGAAAAAGTAAATGTGTTTTTTGCAAACAAAAATAAAGAATTGCAAAAGAAATGCAATTAACTTCATAAACTAACTTACATCATTAAAAAGGTCTACGACTCAAGCTTCATATCGATCTCGACTTCGTTTTTCATTTACATAACTCCTGGCAGTGGCGTAACTACAGGCAGTGCAGTCGCACTGGGGCCCGTGCCGCGGGGGGGGCCGCAGCGCACGCGGGGCCCTGCCCACATTGCAAGCGACTATATTAATATAAATTAATAATAAACGTATTAATAATAAAACACAATTAGTACCGAGATGCTTCACAGTACTAAATAAATAAATAAATTCGCATAAATTGTTTGTGTGTTGTAGTGGTATAGTGGTAGACCTTTTGTCACGCATTTCCGAGGTTCTGGATTCTAATCCAGCCTCGTGTAGTTTTTTTTTCTCTCATTAAAACCAAAGGTGTTTGTATATCAAGTGAAAGGACATGTTTGTGTGCATTTTGTTTTGTGCTTTTACCAGAACAAAGCGTACGATCGTTTTATTTTCGTTTGCAAAACTTTATTTTCTTTTGCAAAACTTTATTATTTTGCATATATATGTGGCATTATATTGACTCCATACAGATAGCCCTACCATTAAACAGAGTGATCTGTAAGTGGTCACTGAGCAATTTTTGACCAGAATAAGCTGCAGTATGTACCAGACAGTCAAGACCAGTCTCTATCAATCTAGTATATGCGCACCACAGGGGCGACTGCATGTCTGTACTTGCTGTATATTTGTTCTGAGGATGTGGGAGTGACGTTTTGTAGTCTAAAAAGCAGTGTGAAAGTCTAAAAAGTACAGAGAAATGGATTGGGAGAGAGTCAAATAATTGAAAAAGACTGGAAAAAGACAGAAAGTTGTCACTGTTTTAAGACTAAAAGCAGGAGGAAGAGATTTTAGATGCAGGAAGAAAGACCTAAGAGCTCCTTTAATCACAAGCTCCCTCAACCCACTTCAGTTTCCCAGCATGCCGAGCGTTAGTGTGATCAGAGGATGGGAAACCACTGCAACGCCTTCTTCTGACCACACACACACTCCTTCTGTACTAAAGTACTACTCCAAAAAGCTGTGAGAACAAGACAAAGATAAGACGGAGAAAGAGACCCGACTGAAGGATGAATAATCCCTTCAGCTCACTTCTCTCTCTCACCCTGACCCAGCTTAGAAATAATAACTTAATTCCCGTTAAACTCTCCTCTCCTCCCTCACACACACTTACAGATGCAGACAAAGGCAGAATATTAGCTGTCGAAAACGTGTGGGCCTCCATAAGACTGAAAGATGGATGGATAAACATGACAGAGAGGTGTTAGATGAGAGTTAAACAGATGGACAAGCAGAAAGACGGAGAGAGAGGGAGAGTGTGAAACAGATGGACAAAGAGGGTGAGAGGCAAACAGCTGAGAGGAGAAGATGAGGAAAACACAGATGGACATGTAGACTGCCATTGTGTGTGTGTGTGTGTGTGTGTGTGTGTGTGTGAGTGTGTGTGTGTGTGTGTGTGTGTGTAAGTGAGGGGGAAATCCAGAGAACGGTTATGTCACAATACTAGCATACTGTTCCTACTACATCTGCAGTGTGCAGATAAACAGATATTGCCCACTTAAAAGGTTAGTTCACCCAAAAATGCCCCAAAAATTAGCCCATAAATTACTCACCCTGAAGTCATCCTAGGTGTATATGACTTTCTTCTTTCAGACGAATCCAG